CGGCGGGGCGGTTGGGCCAGGCATCGGGCTGGGCTTGAAGGCGGGCGCGATTCCCTCGGCTCCAGCAGTGGCGGCGCGTCCTGGCTCGCCCCTTGGCCTTCCGAAGGATGTTCTGTGAACCTTTTGTTGTCTGCACGGCATGCTCTTCGAACATGTCTGGCTGAGACCGTCTTGTTGTAACTCATCGGGATTGAGTCCTAAGAGCATTGATTTCGTTGTTCGAACAGTTTTGGGCTCCAGGACGATTTCGTGATAGGCCTATCGGATTGCCGGGGCGGTCGGTCCCTGCTCAATCTTGTACAGGAGGGATATTCTACAGGAGGAATATTCAAACATAGTCAAAACATAGTTCGGGGGCGATTTTTGGATGTTTGTTCGACTCTAGTCTTGAATTTCTTTCGGCTCTGTTTCGTTTTCTTACAAGACCAGCTTGTGCGAGGACATGTCCGACCTAAGGCTGGGCGGGGCCACGTCGGCGACTGCTCCGACAGCCGGCGCCTCGAAAATTAGCCTTGCGAAGGACCCAACCATGCGCAGTTGTGAATACTGCAATTATGAATATCATTTTCGCTCGCGTTCCCTATGGGGCCACGAACCGTGTGAGGGGGCGTGCCGAAATGCGCGGCGGGGTCAAGAATACGGACAAGGACGGTCGGTCTGAGCGCGAGAGTTTGGTAACGGGTGAGCCCCAGCGCGAGTGAGTCTGATTGTGGATGAGCCTGCGTGCGAATCAGTCTACGTGCGTAAATGTCGACGCCCATGTTGGCACGCTCCTCACGAGGATCGCACCCGATTCCTTCCCTTTCTTTTTCTGCTTCTTTGCCCGTGCACGCCGATGTCCACGGCTGCGGGCGCGGCGCCGCACGGAGTCCCCGCGACGCATGCTGGTCGCCCCGAAGGGGTTTCGGCGACGCGCGCGGGTCGTCCGCTGCGCGGAACAGAGCTAACTGGCTGGCTGATAGCGGGCAAGACTGTGGCCGTTGGGCAGAGCGACGATGCGGGCGAGCGAGGCTCTGGGCAGATCGCAGCGCGGAATTCCCGCGACGCGCGCTGGTCGCCCGAAGAGGGTCCCAGCGACGCGCGCGGGTCGCCCGCGGCGCGAGGCCAAACAGTCAGACCGTCGAGAGACGGCGAGGCTCGGGCAGGCCGCTCCTCAGGTCAAGCTTCGCGGACCAACCTGGTGAAGCCCAGCTCCTTGGCGAGGGCCGTCGCCTTCCTTCTGCATCGGTTCGTGTTCGCCGGAAACTGCTCTAGCTGCTTCCGCAAGTCCTCTGGCTGCCCTGCCAGGAAGAACTCGATGCGCGGCGCCCGCGTGGGCAGGAGGTCCTCGTGGCGCGTGGCGTGCGAGAGCAGCGCGTAGAGCTCCAGCCACCAGTCGTCGTCCCCCTTGCCGTTCCCGACCTCGTGGCGGCCGCAGTCCAGGATCACGCATGGGCGATGCCGGCCGAGGGGCCAGCGCGCCAGACAGCCGACGGCCCAGGGCGAGAGTCCACGGGGCCGCCACGCGAGCTGCGCCATTGGGACCATAGGTGGGGCTCCCCGTGGGGCCACGAAGCGTGTGAGGGGCGTGCCAAAATGGGGCGAAGCCGCCACGCGAACTCGCTACTGGGGCCATAGGTGGAGCTCCCTATGGGGCCACGAAGCATGTCAGGGGTTTGCCAAAATGAGGAGAGGGCGCCATGCGAGCTGCGCCTCTGGGGCCATAGGTGGAACTCCTTATGGGGCCACGAAACGCGCGAGGGGTGTGCCAACATGGGGCGAGACTGCCACGCGAGCTGCGCCACTGGGACCATAGGTGGAGCTCCCTGTGGGACCACGAAACGTGTGAGATGTGTGCCAAAATGGGGCGAGGCCGCCACGCGAGTTCTGCCGCTGGGACCGTCGGTGGAGCCCCCTTTATGGGGCCACGAAGCGTGTGAGGTGTGTGTGCTAATCTGGGGCGAGGCCGCCACTCGAATTCTGCCACTGGGACCTCCCCTATGGGACCACGAAGCGTGTGAGGGGTGTGCCGAAACAGGACATGCGGAAGGAGGGGGGCAGCGGAATGAGGAGATGCGCGGCGCTGTTTCTTCAAAGCGAGAACCCAACACCACAGGATGGTTGCGAAGAAAAATCGAGACATCGCCAGAAGGGGCAGGGTTCATCGCGATGCCGCCGATTCGATCCGATGCGGATTCGATGGGTTCCGATTCCGATTCGATTCGGTTTCGGATTCCGATCTGGGATCCGATTGCTGATTGGAGGCTTACCACTAGTAAACCTCCAATGTCTGCCTGCCGATGTCTGCCGATTCGGCTCTTCTCGACTCGGCTGCCGGTATCCGTCGATCCGAGTCATGTCGATCGCCAATCCGACTTGTCGATTCGATTCTGGGCTCGCCTGGGGGGAGATCGGGCCGCGGGGGCGGGACAGCCAGCGTCTCGAAAGAATCGAGGCGGAGGTGTTTTTCTGATTTCTGCCTCTCGGGGCCGTTGCCTTGCCGGGCCTCGGGGCCGTCGGAAAAGATGGCGCAGGGGATGATTAAGCCCCCCTCCTGGGGAGAGGTGGTCGAGAGGGGAGGTGGTCCAAAGAGCCTGGGGGGGGCCGTGTCTCGAGGGAAAATCGGGGGGCAGGGTACGTCTGGGCACAGAGGGTGCCTCCCAGATGGGGTTCGAGCGGATGGGCTTGGGTTAGGTCGGGCCCGTCCCTCTATGCTACAGGAGGAATGTTCAAGACTTGTTATCGAAAGCCACGTGACGCGATTTCCCCGGCTCTTGTTGACATGTTTGAGTACTTGTCCATCTAACTTATATTACCACAAGTCGCCTGTAGGAGGACATGCCCGACCTAAGGCTTGGAGGATCGCGCCGCATCGCCGATAAATCGAGGTCGTGGCTCGATGCGGCGGACGATTTGCTTCACGTCGACGTCGCCCATGCATCGCCGACGTCGACGATGCGTCGCCGATGCATCGCCGATGCGTCGCCGATGCGACGGTGATGCATCGGCGATCTGGCGCGATCCTCCGACCCCATCTACCATGACGTGGAGCTGGAGTTCCCCCGCGTCGGCGGCGCCAATGCATCGCCGACGTCGCCGATACTTCGCCGATGCATCGCCGAAGCGTTGGCGATGCGGCACGGTCGTTCGACCCTATGTACTCGGTTCGTGGCTTGAACTCTGCATCGTGGGGCCTTGGGTGGCGCCACGCTGCCATCGTCGTGCCTCGTCTGGGCGCGGCAGAAAACTCTGTCGAGGTCCTCGCCTCCAGGGTGTGGATTGCAAACCGCACCCTTTGCAAATCATACCCGTCGGTGTCGCCAGCACGCATGCTCGCGCCGTAAAAGACCAGCGACGGGCGGTTTTGGATCAGTTTGGGCCTCTTTGGGCCCTCGCCAGTCCGCGGGACATCCATAACGACTCTGGATGGAAAGCCGGTCCTGCCCGTGCTGAAGGAAAAGGCATCGCGTGTCTTCGAAGAGGGGTGTTCGTGGATTTTTTGGAGCGTTCTCGTCGGTTCCTGGCGGTCCTGAGCTCCAGCAAGCGCGGCTTTTCGAGAGCCGAGTGGGCCCCGGAAGCGACCAGGCCGTTTCTGTTACCGGTTCCGTTTTCCCGTTTTTGTTTGCCGCTTCCAGCGCCGTGTTTTTTTTTGTTCTGGCTCCGTCGCCGATGTTTTTTTTCGGGTTCCAGCTCCAGTTCCCTTTCCGGAGCCGTTTTTGTTTGCTGTTTCCTGCTGCTGTTTTTTGTTCACCGCTCCTCCCCTTTGAAGAGGCACTTTGTGTCGGCGGCGGCAACGGAGCGGGCCTTGCCGTCTTGCAGGGCCCAGCAGCTTGTCGAGCGCGCATTTTTCAGCGGTGCCCATCGATCGGCCCGAGCGGCCGCCACTTGGGCCCGAGGCACGACCTCCCTGGAAGCCACCGGGCGTCGGGGAGGGGGGGGCGGAGGACGGGGGGGCGTTGGCCGCACGGCGGGGGCCATGACGTCTCCGCGATGCCGTGGCCACCTCGTCCACGACGGCGACGACGACGACGACGACGACGGCGACGACGACGACGACGACCACGACCACGACGACGACGACAAGTACGACGACGACGACGACGACGAAGACGTATGACGAACGACGACGTACGACGACGTACATGGACGACGACGTAGGACGACGACGGTACGACGGACGACGGACGACGACGACGACGACGACGACGACGACGACGACGACGACGACGGCGGTACGACGGACTCCGGACGACGGACGACGGAAGCGACGGACGACGACGACGACAGCGACGACGACGACAGCGACGACGACGACGACGACGACGACAACGACCACCAACGCCCCTCTCTTCGGCGCACCCCTTGGGGGGGTGATGAGGCAGGCGGCGGCGGTGGCGAGCTTCGGAGTCGCGGCGCGCGCCATTTCGCGCGCGCGCGAGCGCAAGAGCTGTGCCTGCTCCTGGCACGGGCAGGCCGAGCCGTCTCGGGGGAGCACGCTGCATGGGAGGTGCGCTCTTTCCTCCTGTCGGTGCCACTAGGTTCGACAGCCACGCGTGTGGGTCGCGGTGGGCTCGGGAGCTACTCGCGCCCTTTGTTTAGCGCGGCAGCGTGTCGGGATGCATTCCCTGGCAAGCGGTCCGCCTCGAGCTCCAGGCGTCGGATGCTCCGCATATCGGGACGGCTCTCATCTCCCTGGTGATCCTCCTCCCTTCCATGTTCTCATCACTGCCCCGGCCCTCCTCCCTTGAACGCTGCGGTGCAGCATCGCTGCAGTGATATGCAGGGCTCGCGGCTAGTGGGCTCATCGTCGCTTGGTTGTTGTAGTGTTTGTGGGTGTGTGTATGTGTGTGTCTATCAGTGTTTGTGTTTTTTTGTGTGCGTGCTTTTGTGTGTGTGTGTGCGTGTCGGGGGAGCTTTGCCTTCGTACTACTGGAATTTGTTGGCACGCGTGCGTGTGTTGCTCAAGGACAGTGAAGGATGACCTTGGGGCCAGGGTAGAAGAAGGAGGGCTTGCCAGCCAGGTCGCACTTCGAGCAGTACCTGAATATATTCTCTTCGACTGTGGTCTCGCTCCGATCGATGTTCATGGCGCCCGTCCACTCAACCGAGATGGTGCACGGGACCGTGTTGTCCTCCCCTCTCTGCTCCCTCCTCCTCATCCAACATCCAACCTACCTATTCACCTCCTCTCATTTATATATATGTATATATACACATGTACTGCGAGTTTCCGGCCCACCTTAGTGGAGTTGCCCCCGCTGGACGATTGGCGTGCAGCTGGCTTCGACATCATACATGAGTTGTTTGTCTTGCTTGTCGGCTTTTTGGTGAGTGCCTTCGCTTCAACTTCGAGCTGTGCTTTAGCTCTGGCGCCGGCATCCCGCTTGTATGCTCCCAGTGACTGCTTCACGATGTCTGGCGAGTTCGCAGCACGGGGCGGAGACTCAGCTCTCTCTGGCTGCGTCAGTTTTGGGCCGACCCTTTACTTCTTCAGCTCTACCTGCGGATATTCTTGATGCCTCGAGGCTCGGCAGGTTCTGAGCGAGCTCGGGGCTCGGCGTTTTCAGCTCTCGGCTCCACCTGAGGGTACCCTCGAAGCTCAGTTAGTTCTGTTCGGCCAGACCTGTTCAGTTCTCACCTCTCACTGAGGATACTTTCAGGCTCGGTAGGTTCAGGGCCCAGCGTCTTCCTGTCTTCGCTTGCTGTGCCTTTTACCTTTTACCACTTTTGCGATGCAGCCAGCGCCTGTGAGCGGCTGACGCCTGCGTTGTGACGAATTGCTGAATTGCGCAACGGTCCCCATCCTGTGGATGCTAGCTTTGAAAGTTGGCACATCCTGTGGAGTCGAATCTGCGTGGCCAGCTTTCTCGTTTAATTGCGCACGTGGTGACGGAAGTCGCCCCGACCACAGGGCAAGCGCCACCCACCTGTCTGTGCAGGCTTGCTGGCAGGATCTGGCCAGCGCGTCGGCTGCGTCGAGGAAGAGGGCGACCGACGATAGAAATCCTCCCGCGCCTCTGCGTCCTCTTTTTGTTCTCCTCCTCCTCTTCCTTCTCCTTATCCTCGTCCTCCATCCTCCTCCCCTCCTCCTCCTCTTCCTCCTCCTCCTCCTCCTCCTCCTCCTCCTCCTCCCCGTGACACGGACACTACATGCATCTGTAGGGCCCCGACAGATCACATATTCCACAGGTTCCTCGAGTGCCCCAAAAGTGCAGATATTCTGGAAGAGTACCTTGTTGAAGGCGACTCGGAAGCCCTGAGGGAGCCCCCGGCTTTGGCTATGTGTGCTGGTTTTCCTGAGCCTCCGCCCTTTTAAGGTACCGAAGCCCATCGGTCTTGGCCTAGCTGAGGCCCAGTTTTGGTCCCGTGACGGCCTTTCGCTTTCGGAAGCTTTTGTCGGCGAGGTTTATGTCGATGGCAGTGTGGCCAAGGATGGCCAACATTGGTTTCATGCCCCTGGCTGGGCAACTGTGAAATGTGACGCCCACGGGGAGGTAGACGCCTACCTCTGTGGGCCTGTAGACAGCGCTCCCCCGCCCACGTCACCTGCGGCGGTATTATTAGCGCATCTAGCTTCCAGCCAGTTTAGAGGAGCGACTAAGATTCATTCAGATTTCAAAGGAGGTGTCACTTTCCACAACTAAGGCCTGCCTGCCAGTAGGAAGAAAATGTACAACGGGCTTGGCTCAATGGCCAGACTCGGAGAAGCTATTGCTGAAGGGGGTTTTGAAGTGGCTAAGTTCAAAGCCCATCAAGATTTGAATGGCGGCACGCTTCGGGAACCGACGCTGCCGACCGCATTGCAAAATTAGCTGCCTCGCGCCTCCCCCAGCCCTCGGTAGGAGAGGGAGGCGCCCAGCAGCAGCTTGACAAGAGGTTGTCTCGCTTCCTTCGGTATGTGCCGAAGGCCCTGGCGCTGTGGCCCTCGATCGCCCCGAGGTTTGGGGGCAAAGGCCTCGAGGGCCCTGTCAGGGCCACCAACCCAGCAGCAGGTGCCAGGTCGATCGCGGAGGTGTGGCACAGCGGAGCTAACCCAGGGGGGTCGAGTTCTGGCCCTGGAGCTGCGGCGGTTCCTCCCCTCCCCGCCCCCCTCGGGTGGCCCGTGCCCGAGCCCGAATCGGGCATGTGTGGACGTGGCAGAAATCTCGTTGGCTCCGCTGTCTCTGCCACTCGCGGTGTATTTCAGACAAGTCTAAGCTTGCCAGAGCCACGGTGTCGTGCCCGGGTAATGTTGCTCGCCTGGCTAAGCTAGCGGTGCAGCCCAACGGTCACAAGTTTTTTTGTTTTCGACAGAATTGCAAACGAAAGCTGCCTTGTTGCATGCAAGCTGTGCGGCAGTTATTCAGAGTGTACCGTGAAGAGCCTCCAGAAGGATTTTCTCAAGCGATTCACTTCCAACTTTTCAGTAGGCGCCCATGCGCGCCTCCAGGGGGGGAGACCCCCAGGGCCTCTAAGACGAGCCCCATCGTCTTCCAGCCTCCGATCCCGATTGAAGAGGTGCCCGTTCAGGCCGCCCGAGCGCTCGAGTCGCCCTAGGCGAAGTCGAACCCTTTCCGAAGCCGTGCGATGGTCCTCCTCCTCGCCCCCTCGAGCGCGATCCCAGGCTGGAACGAGGCCGCCCCGTGCGCGAGAGCCGAGGGCCGGCAGCGGTGGCGCTGTGGCCGCCCCGCGCGCCGTGGCGGAGCTGCCGCGCGTGCGGTCGCATCGCCGCCGTGCGGGGGCGACGGTGCCGAGACCTCCCCGCCTGATGGCAGAAGCCACGACGGAGGGCGTTTGTTCGCCATCTTCGGCCTCCGAGGCCTCTTGCCTCGCGGGGCCTCGTGGCCGTCAGAGAGCAGGAGCGACAGAGGGACGTACACGCACACGAAGCCACGCCGGTTTCGAGAGTACGCACTGCGCAAATGTTCGTATAGCGCGGCGGGTCTCGCGGATCGAGGGGCCGTGCTCGTGTACACAGCTGGGCGCGTATGTCCTCTGTGGGCTCCCTAACAGGAAAAACTCGGGAGGAATTGAGCCGGTCCCGGGGGAGGGGCCCAGCCTCTGGGGGTCGACGCCGTGACAGGTCGGGGCGTCGGGGCACTGCGTGGCGTGCTCTCGTCGTGCCAGGCCGCCCCGGCGCCCCCGGCGGGAGCCGGCGAGGCGGGGCGTGCCGCCCACGTGGCAGAGGCAGGTCTGTCGCGCCCGCGGGCCCGCGCCGGGGCGGGCAGAGGCGGGCGGGGCCGCCGGGGGCGCCTCCGCGCTGCCCACATGGCGCGAGAGCGACGAGGGCGGGGCGGTCGATGGGCGCGCGGCCGCACCACACCGCGCTGTCGAGAGGCGGAGGGGGCGGCGCGGCAGAGGGCGCGTGCGCCACCGCGGCGCGTCAGGCCCGCGCGCGCGCCAGTGCAGGTTCTCTCTGCCCGATGCTGCGGTTCTAGGCCTACCAGATGGCCTCCCAGATCGCGCCGCATCGCCGATGCATCGACGATGCGGCTCGATGTGGAGCCCGTGTTTCCCCACGCCGACGTCACCGACGCATCGCCGACGTCGCCGATGCATCGCCGATGCATCGGCGAAGTATTGGCGATGCGGCGCAGTCCTTCGACCCCATCTACCCGGACCCCATCCAGGAGGCTTCTAGCGTTGTGTTTCGTTTTCGTCCTGCGGGCGTCCTGTGAGGATCACAGGCGGAGTCCAAAGCCAAAGAAGCGGCGCGGCAGAACCGACGTGCACAGCGAACTCCACGGGCGTGTTGTCGGCTGCGGGGTGGGTCATCTCGCGGAGGTCCCTCTGCTGGGCCCAGGCGAGCGCCCCACTCCAGGTTTCGCCGAGGCTGCGGCTGCCGCCGCCGCTCTTGCACTGCTGCTTTTGCTGCTGATGTTGCTGTTGCTGCTGCTTCTGCTGCTCCTGCTCACCTTCCCCCTCCCTCCCCTGCTGCTCTCCTCCTTCCCCTCCCCTCCCCTGCTGCCCTCCCCTCCCCTGCTGCTTTTGCTGCTGCTGCTCCTCATCCCCCATTGCCCCATCCCCCGCTGCTCTTCTCCTCCCCCTCTGGCCTAACCGCGGGGCTGTCCTCCTCGCGCGTGTAAGAGGGTTGGGCCTCGTAGAAGTGGTCGCCCTGGCTGACCTCATGGAGCTACAAGGTATATGCGGGCTTCACATTGGGCGTCGGTCATCGCCGGAAGGGTTGGGCCTCGGGGCGGAGACAGACTTCGTGATGGTGCCAGGCGGCAGTGGAGGTGCTGGGTAGCATGGCGGCGCTGGACCTCTGAGGGTCTTGTGGCGGTTCTGGATCTCGCCCGCATTGTAGAGGTGCTGGGCCTCGCGAAGGTGCTTGCCCTCGTGGAGGTGCGAGAGCTTGCAGAAGGGCTCGCCCTGGCGGGCCCCGCTGATGGCTCTGAGCGGAGTGGAAGTTGTCGCTCTGACGGACTTCGTGAAGGGGGGCTCCCAGCCTTCGCTCAGCGGTTGGTCCTCGTGCCCCCAGTGAAGGTGCTGGGCCTCGTGGAGGCGGTCGACCCGGCACGTTTCGTGGAGGCGGTGGCCAATCTCGTGTGGAGGCGCCGGCCTCCATGCTCGCAGTGGTGCTGGCCTTCGTGGAGGCGCTGGGCCTGGCGGGCCCCGCGGTGGTGGTGCGGCACCTCGTGGAGCTGCGGGTCCGCACGGAGGCCGCCAGACCTTCGGGGATGCTGGTCATCGAAGCGGCGATCGCAGCGAGCGTCGTGCTGGACATGTTCGGGCTCGCGCGCCGCGTGTCGTGTCCGTGGGTGACGTCGCCTTGCCCATGCGCGTTCGTTTGCCGCGCATTTGCCGCGCAGCCTTTGAGCAGCGTCGCTCGGCAGCGCTGGGCACCGCTCGCCTGCTCCAGCGAGGACTGCATAGCCATCGAGTGTTGCCTCAGCTTGGTCGTTTGCACCGCCGTTGGTTCTGCGTCTGCACCTGTCTGGCCCCACTGTGGACGGCTGGGCGGTTGCAAGGGACGGGCCGCGCGGGCATGGGCCAAAAGCCAGCAGCGGCCTCCTCGACGCGTCCAGAGCTTCGCCGCCCAGGCTGCTCTCGCGGCTGCGCGTGCCCAGTCGAGCCCACGGCGCTCCGCGCCCAAATCTTCCACGGCGTCTTCCTCCTCTCGCCATCTCGGCCGCCTCCTCCCCCTCTCTTCCTTCTCGATCCACCTCCCTCCTCCATCCCTCCTCCCCCTACTGCTCTCCTCGTCGCCCAAATCCTCCCCCCCTCCTCCTCCTTCCCCTTCCCCTTCCCCTTCCTCCTCCTCCTCCTCCTCCTCCTCCTCCTCGTCCTCCCGCAGATGTCGGACGTGTTGGCAATACCGACGAGAGTAGGTTTGTACCCCTTCTCCCTCATTCCTGGAAGATATCCAAAGATATCCAAAGATATTCAAGCCAAACGTTTTGGGATTTGGGCTGGGATTCGGGACTGGTCCTGGGCCAGAAAACGCGCCGTCTGGTCGACCGGCTCCCCCTCGGGTAACCAATGCAAGCTGTAGGGTTCGACTCGTATGCGTTGCTGTCGATTGCAACGGGTGGGCCCAAACCTGGCGCGCTCAGATGCGAGCGTAATAACGCGATGCGGGTGCCGACGCGAGGTCAAGCTCATTCCATAAGAAAAATCTCCCGACACCCTTTGGGCCAGCACCAAAGGTCACTCTGGCGAAGGGTCACTCTTACGTGTAGTCGATTCCACTCTTCACTGATGTCGGACTTACGGAATACCGCTTTGACGACAGGCTTGGAAACTCTAAACGCTGTCCAGAAATGAGCCCCAGGGGAGTGGAGGTGATGAGGGAAGCGGGGGAGCATGCAGAAGAACAAAGGGCGGGGTAAGCCGCCATATACCCCAAGAGGGGGAGGATGTAGGAGGAGTCGTCGTCGTCGGAGGAGGGGGACGAGGAGGAGGGGGACGAGGAGGAGGAGGAGGAGGAATAGGAGAGGAGGAGGAGGAGGAGGGGAGGAGGAGGAGGAGGAGGAGGAGGAGGAGGAGGGGGGAGCTGCCGAGGCTGCGCCTGGTGCCCGCCCGTGGTCGCCTCGTGGGCGCCCCTGCGCTGAGGTGTGCCGAGTCGTTTGCCAAGGTGCCCGCCCACGGGCGCGCACTCGTGCCCCCCGGGGGTGCATGCCGATGCTTCGCCCGGTGCCCGCCCGTGGGACCGGAGGGGGGCGGAGGGGGAGGAGAGGGGGAGGAGGGGGAGGAGGAGAGGGGGAGGAGGGGGAGGAGGGAGGAGGAGGAAGGGGAAGAAGGAGGAGGAGGAAGGGGAAGAAGGAGGAGGAGGAGGAGGAGGAGGAGGAGGAGGAGGAGGAGGAGGGGGAGTCGGGGGGAGCTGCCGAGAGTGCGCCCGCGGCCCGCCCGTGGGCGCCTCGTGGGCGCCCCGCGCTGGGGGGGCGGGGGGGGGCATGCCGAGGTGTCGCCGGGTGCGCGCCCGCGGGTGCCTTGTCTGCGCCCCGAGGGCTGACGCCACGTGAGCGACCCAGGCATGCTCGCGTCGTGACAAGCATCGGGAACTGGAGCATAGACATTACCAGTGGCGGGCGGTGCTTGTGAGGGTCGGGGACGACGTCGGGGTGGTGTGGTGTATACTTTTTCCCCCGTTTTCCGAGGGGAAACAAGGAAGAATGCATACACCAGGATCCCGTATACACCAGGATCCGCTGACCCGTGCGAGATTCAGTGTGAGGCCAGACCAAGGCGTGGGTGTATAGAGTTTCGTGCCCTGAGGAATCAGGACGGGAGGTTTTTTTGGAGATGTGCGGCCTGGGGGGGCCCTGGCCGGGCCCTCTGGACCGTCGAAACACGACTCAGGACGAGGAACTGGTCCCGGGGGAAGGGTCGGGACTTCCAGGGATCGGGAGCGGAAAAGAGGGGGGTGATGACTAGGGGGGGGTGGATATCATGGCGGGGGCCATGATATCTCCCCAGATCTCATGGCGCCTCTTCTTGTTTCATTACGTCCCTGGCCCCCCCGCTGGGCCGCGCACATGCCGCCCGCCATGATTTGCACCCCCCCCTCTTGGACACCCCCCTCTTGGCCGCTCCCGAAGGGACGCCGTCCTGAAAACATCAGGGCGTCGCGTGTCTGGGGACCCGGCAAAGCGGGTTCGACTGCGCCGGCAGTGGCGCGTAGGCTGCCCGCGTCAGGTCGCGCGTCAGCGCCCTCGTCCCCACTGCGGCGTGCCGGGCTGGCGGCCCGCGCGAGCCGCCGTGTCAGGTCGCTGAGGCCCGTTTCTTTTCGTCGCTCGCGCGGACTCCCCAGGTCTAGAAATGGGTCTACTCTACCACCTTCCCGAGCCCGGAAGTGTCGGGACTCCTTGGGACAATTATTTCGGTTCCTATTCGCACGCATTCGTTTAGCTCAGAAGACATCTGTTCACATGCCCTGTTGAAAGGCGCACCGCACATTCCACTTGCACGCGCACATGTCGAACTCATACCAAGCACATGGCTTCTGCAACCATTTCACTTTTAGACATCAAGAATCATGGGCTTTCCAATTGAACGTATAGCAGATGTTCTTCCCGCGCGCACTTGCAGGCATCAGGTCAAACCAAGTGATGTTGAGCAATCTCGTCCAGGACCAGCACTCACATCCAACCACGCGGTGCATTCGCGCTGATCTAGCATGCGCTCAGTGCACGAAGCCGTATCAGAGAATAACAAGGACATCACGCGGCCCGCATACGCTCGCCGCCACGCGCGCGCGTCGAAATCCCTCCAACACCACTGGCCTTTGGCGTCCGTAGCCATTTTGGCTCAAGGCAACTTTTGGTCCGTTACACTCGTTCCTTACGTCACGCCTGCGATCTGTCATCGCTCCATCGAGTGAGATGGGCGCCTGGACGCTAAACCCGGCCACGTGGTTGGTGCTCCTGCTCGGGCGCAGCATGCCCACCGCATTTGCCCTCGAAGCGGTGCAGCTGCGCGCCAACACTTCCTCGGAGTCCGCAGCTACCTGGACGCTGCTGCTCAGCTCGACTTTGGGCAATACCAACATCGGGGACTTCTCCAGCGGCTCCACGTATGGAAACCAGGGCAGCTACACCTGGTCAGACTATCGTATCGGATACACTGGGTCGCAGCTCCAGAGTATCGGCATGTCCGGTATGCGCGTGACTACCGCATCTGGGTATTCCGTCGAGCATTATTGGACCGTGAGTGCCTCGGGCTTCGACAATACGTGCACGAGCTGCAATTGTGGCGGCAACAGCCTCGGAAGTAACTACTACTGGCACGGTGGACGCGGCGGTTGCTACGGTTCGACGCATTTCGGGCTCAAGAGGGAGGCCGACGTGCACAGCTGGTGCAACGCTGGGGGCTGGGATAACGGTAATGCCTGGGGTCATTTTCACCGCACTCACGTCAACACGGGCGTCTATTTCTTCGGCGACAGCTGCATTAACGAGAATGAGTGGGGGGAGCGGTACTATTTCTGGGGCGCCCTTGCGACGCCTTCCCCGACGCCCTACCCGACACCCTACCCGACGCCGTACCCGACTCCGTACCCGACTCCGTACCCAACGCCGTACCCGACTCCGTACCCGACGGCCTACCCGACTCCGTACCCGACGCCGTACCCGACGCCGTACCCGACGGCGTACCCGACTCCGTACCCGACTCCGTACCCGACGCCGTACCCGACGGCGTACCCGACGGCCTACCCGACGGCCTTCCCGACGGCCTACCCGACGGCCTACCCGACGCCCAGCCCCACGCCGTCCCCTACGTATCCTCTAGGCTGGCCGACGCCACACCCGACGTTCCCTGCTGGAGCTCCCATGGCGGGTGGAGCTGGGGCATCCGTGGCTGCCACAGGCGACCCACATCTGCAGAACGTCTATGGTGAGCGGTTCGACCTGATGAGGCCTGGCAAGCACATTTTGATTCACATTCCACGGGACGAGCGCATGGAGAATGCGTTGCTTCGTGTCGACGCTGACGCTGTGCAACTGGGTGTGCAGTGCACAGACATGTACTTTCAAGAGTTGAACCTCACAGGTGCGTGGGTGGAGGCTAAGCGGACCGGGGGCCTCTATTTCCGCGCTCAGGATATGGGCGACGCAGATCCGAAATGGGAGCACTTTGGGAAGCTCGAAGTGAAGATTGCCCATGGGCTCACGCACGATGGGATCCAGTACTTGAACTTTTACGTGAAGCACCTCGGACGTGCCGGGCTTGCTGTCGGAGGACTCTTGGGAGAAGATGACCACACTGAGGTAGAAATGCCTTCGGACGAGTGTGTGCGGCGGAACAGCATGACTCTCTAGGAGGACTGATTCCTGTGCAGGAGCGCGTGCGATTCCGAACCTCAACCTTTGCACATACGCCCCTTACGTTGCAGAGGCAATTGTCGCCCAACGACGCGTGCATGAGATGAGGTCACCTTCTTCCACCAGGCGCGCCGGCGCAAAGCACTGTCTGCCTCATCGTACGCAATGTTTCTGTGAAGGCGCGAGAAAAAAAGCACACCACTAGCCTTTGGCGCATTTCAATGTAGGAACGTTCAAACATCAGTGAACTGGTTTTCAGCAGAACGGTTGCCAGAATCATTGATTGTGCTGGTCTCCAGCCAGTGCTGCCGATCCAGGGCGCTCCGGATGATGATGATGATGATGATGAGGATGAGGATGAGGATGAGGATGAGGATGAGGATGAGGATGAGGATGAGGATGAGGATGAGGATGAGGATGAGGATGAGGATGCTGTTGCTGCTGATGATGATGAGGTGGATGATGTGGTGATGGTGATGAGGAGGAGGATGATGATCATGATGATGATGCTGATACTGATGACGATGACGATGACGATGACGATGATGATGATGATGATGATGATGCTGGTGACGGTGATGTTGACGGTGATGGTGATGACTATGATGGTGATGGTGATGATGATGACGTTGATGATGGTGATGATGATGGTGATGATGATGGTGGTGATGCTGATGATGTTGATGCTGATGCTGATGGTGATGCTGCTGATGATGCTGATGATGATGATGATGATGAGGTTGATGATGATGTTTATCATAGTAATGGCCATGGGGCCATCTTTGGCGTCTTGGACCGATCGTTCGGTGATTCGGGGCGTTCTTGGGCCGTCTTGAGGGCCTCTTGGGGCCCTGTTGGTCCGTCTTTGCTTTTCTTGGGCTCGAAGAATTCATGCGGGAACATTCTGGGGACCCTCATCATCATCATCATCATCATCATCATCATCATCATCATCATCATCATCATCATCATCATCATCATCATCATCATCTCATCATCATCATCATCATCATCACCACCGACAAATGGCCATCATCATCATTATCACCATCATCATCATCATCATCATCAACATCAGCATCATCATCATCATCATCAGCAGCAGCAGCTTCATCATCAGCATCATCATCAGCATCATCATCATCGTCGTCGTCAGCATTGGCCTTGCTAACGTCCTCGTCATCATCGCCGAGTCACAGACCCGCAGCGCAATGCCCGCACACCAGCGCGGCCGTCGAGACGCGCTGGGAAGTCCCCATCGGCAAGCGCCATCGCGACTGCGTGACTTGCGCCACGCCAGCTGGTCGCTCTGTGGGCAAGCGAGCGCGCGCCGGAGCGGCCGTGGCGATGCGCTGGCAAGTTCCAGCCAGTAGCCCTAATCGTGGCCGAACGTGTGTTACCGAGCAAGTTACGGGTAGGAGAGTGGGACGTTCGCGCGAGTTGTGGAGTTGACGACCTCAAGTGTTGCATCCGCTTGTTGCACCACGCATGTTGCGTGTTGCATCACACGGCGTGCACCACATAGCTGGCGCCATTTTCACATGGCTTCCACCGCCTAGCTTCCTCCACAGAGCTTGCACAGCGCAGATCGCAGCACGTAGATCGCACAGCGTGGGCTGCGCCGCACAGCTGGGCCACGTAAGTAGGTTGCACCACGCGGCCTGCGCCGCTGATCATGAACCACACAGGTAGCACCGCGCAGGCTGCACTGTGTAGATGGCACCACGCAGCTTGCCGACTTGGTGGGCTCCCGCGGGAACCTGCGAACCATGCGCCCTCTCGCGTTTGAGGTGGGGTGTGTGGTCAGTCTGAAACAGGAGTCTTTCAAATAGCTTGCATCCACAGGGCAATTCTGGGTCGCTTGGGGTCCACATTGGGTCCACAGTGGTTTGAAGTCCTTGTGGGGCTTCACCTTGTTGAGGCCGGCGACGTGCGGATTTGGCAAAGTTGAGGTACATCTCGAATATCAGATCGGGGTTGCTTCGAAAACGCTTGAGTTGTTCGAGCAGGAACCCACTGCCAATGCGTATTCTCTGTACGACCAGCTTTGCACATTCGGCGACGTCGTTGGTGTAACTATGCTCTGCGTGTGCGCACCATGGACTGTGACGAAAGACGTGAAACACAGCATTCCGATGGTCAGCGCCAAACGTCACGTACAATGTTCTATGCACCACGGTGTTGGCCCGCACACGCAGCGGACAGCGGCGATGCGCAAACGATGATGACGGAGGCAGCCCTGCTGCAACACTGCCAGGTGAGAGCGACGGTGGCAGCGACGCACATTCCACACTGTCGTCCTCCAGTTCAGCTGCGACTGCCGTCGCGTACTTCGAGCCACGCGCACGGTGACAAAAACACGACGATGATTTTCCACGAGTTGCCTCCTCAGGTCGTCGTCGTCATCCTCCTCATCCTCCTTCTCCTTCGCCCTTTATCCTCCTGCTCCTCCTCCACTTCATCCTCCCTTTCCCGCTCCTCCTCCTCCTCCTCCTCCTCCTCCTCCTCCTCCTCTTCCTCCTCCTGCTCTTCCTCCTCCTGCTCTTCCTCCTCCTCCTCCTCTTCCTCCTTCTCCTCCCCCCCCTCCTCTTGCTCCTCCCCCTCCTCCTCCTCCTCTCCTCCTCCTCCTCCTCCTCCTCCCCTCCTCCTCCCCGCTCCTCCTCCTCCTCCTTCTCCTCCTCCTTCTCCACCTCTTCCTCCTCCTCCGCCTCCTCCTCCTCCTCCTCCTCCTCCTCCTCCTCCTCCTCCTCCTCCTCCTCCTCCTCCTCCCACCGCCTCCCACCGCCTCCCGCGCAGGACCACGGAGCCCTCCAAGTCCTCGCAGGACCTGTCGCTGGCCGTGGACGCGGCCATCGTGCGGCTGCAGGTCCCGCGGGCGCCCTCGGCTCCTCCCTGCCCCGCGCCGCCGCCGCTCCCCCCTCCCCTCTGGTGCGGGCAGGACCTGCAAGGAGAGGAGGTGGAGGAGGAGGCGGAGGAGGAGGAGGGGGAGGAGGAGGAGGGGGAGAAGGGGGAGGAGGAGGAGGAGGAGGAGGAGGAGGAGGAGGAGGAGGAGGAGGAGGAGGAGGAGGAGGAGGAGGAGGAGGAGGAGGAGGAGGAGGAGGAGGAGGCGGAGGAGGAGGAGGAGGAGAAGGCGGCGAAGGAGGAGGAGAAGGAGGAGGAGGATAAGGAGGAGGCCGTGGGGTCCGGACCACGCGTCCCGCTGGTCGGCACACGGGTTAGTCACGGGCGTGCGCGCGCGACCCCCCCCCGCCAGGGCCTGTTTCGGGCCCGCCGATTCGATTCGATTCGATCTCGATGGCCTCCGATTCCGATGCGATTCGACTTGGGGCTCCGATCTGGGCTCCGACTTCTCAATCGACTATCCCGACTGCTCCGATCCGGGGCTCCGGTTTTAGCTCCGACTGCTCCGATTTCCGCCGATTTCGGGGGTGGACAGAACCCCCAACAGTGACACGTCGATTAGTGAATTCTCCGTTTTCCGTGCTCGAAAGGGCGCCGTGGCCGTCATTTTCCAGGCTTGCGCCCGCCAGGTTTGGGCCTCAGGTCGTTTTCACTAAACCACGTTTTGCTAAAGGGGGGTCTGTCCATCCCCGCCACTTCGACTTTCCCCGACTCGGCTGCCGATGTCCGCCGATCCGATCCGTTTCGATCGCCGATCCGACTCGTCGATTCGATTCTGGGCCATCCTGCCCCCGCCCTCGTCGGCACGCGGGCAGGACCTGTCTCCATCCACTGCAGCTTGGAGCTCGGGGCCCGCTTCCTCGAAGAAGAAGAATAATAATAATCAGAACATTACTAATGAGAGTCAGGATAGTAATAAGAAAAAGCATAGTAAAAAACATGTTAATGATAAGAAGAAGAAGAAGACCCCACAACACGAGGCCAGAAGAGCATCCGTCGGGAACACGAGAGACTCTCCGCCGGCCAAGCTGGAGAGCGTTCGGGGGGACCCCCTCCCCGCCGAGGCCGCACAAACTTTTTTTCAGCGGGCACGAAAACACAGTAGGGCATCCTCTCCGAACCGACCTCGAGGCCACCTACGGTCGGGCCGAGGTCGAACATTCGAGGGTACCCCCCCTCCGAGGATGGACTAGAAATTCCAACAGTCACGGAGAACATCAGGGTACCCTCTCCGAGCTGACCTCGATCTTTAGAAGAAGAATGAAGCCATAAACATGAACTTGTGACACTCCGCGCGGATTTCTTGGATCCGCGCTGCCCTCCCCCATCCCCGGCGGCGCCTGCGGCGCCGCCCCTGGCGCGCTCCGCGCGCCAGGGAGGGGGGTCCAGCGCAGATCCAAGAAATCCGCACGGAGCGCCAAAAGATTCTGTTGATGGCGTTTGTTCTTGTTCCATGTCTATTTCTTCCCCAGAAGCCCGAGGCGCACTGGAGATGGATCAATCATTTGGCCCCTACAGAGGCTAGATTTTTGTTGTTCATATCCAGCGCGCCTGGGCCTTGTGGCGCCCCTTCCGTGAAAGTCCAAGACGCACTGGATCTGAACACAAACCTTGCCCGCATTCGGCCCCGTTTCTCCAGTCCTAGCGGCCCAGGCCCCCCCGCGTCCCCAGACCCCCTCGGTTCGTGACAAAAATCACGACGGGAGGTTTTTCACAGTTCCGGCCTCTCACGACCTTTGCCGGGCCCCGGGACCGTCCAGAATATTATTCGGGGCGAAACATCGGTCCCGGGCAATGGGTCCAGACCTCTGGGGGTCGACGTTGCGACCTAGGTCAGGAGGGACACAAACATCCACACAATTCATCGTGGATACCCAGGAGGATATGGGAAAATATGGGAAGTGTGGGGGAAGACGAAACCCCAGAACATGTGGAAAAACGTGGTGAATCCTCTGATTTGTGTGACTTTATTCGTGTGTCCCTGGGCCCCTTTGCAAAGTCATGGCATATCGGGGGTTTGGGTCGCGAGAGAGCGTCACACGGCGGCAGGTCTCTGGCCGCTTTCTGGACCCCCCCCAGGGGGTCCCGCCTCCCATAGGTGCAGGAAGGGGCCGATGGTTGGCGGGGGGGAGGGTTCGAATGTGGCCACCTACGGCCAGGCCGAGGTCGAACATTCGAGGGTACCCCCCCTCCGAGGATGGACAATAGTTTCCAACAGTCACGAAGCACATCAGGGTATCCTCCCCGAGCGGACCTCGGTCTTTAGAAGAATCATGAAGCCATAAACATGAACTTGTGGCGCTCCGCGCGGATCCGCGCGGGGACTCTCCGGCGGCGCCTCCGTCGCCGCCCCTGGCGCGCTCCGCGCGCCAGAGAGGGGGCTCCAGCGCGGAGAGGGGGGTCAGCGCGGATCCAAGAAATCCGCGCGGAGCGCCAAGCAAATATGTTTATGGCGCTTTCTCTTCTTCTAAAGATCGAGGTCGCTTCGGGGAGGGTTCCCTAATGTTCTTCCCTGCCTGCTGGAAATTATTGTGCAGCATCGGGAGGGGACACCCTCGAATGTTCTTCAGTTAGGCCGACGGAGGATCTCATGCGCCTGAAGTAGGGGGACGGACAATGACATAAGCATGAAAACTCAGAGCTCCGCGCGGATTTCTGGGTTCGGCGCTTGATCCCTCTCCCTGGCGCACGGAGCCCGCCAGGGACGGCGCCGGAGGCGCCACCAGGAGGGTCCAGCGCGGATCCGAGGAATCCGCGCGGACCTCCGAGTTTTTATGTCACTCTTCGTTCCCCTACGAAGGATGTTCTTCTGGCTTCGATTCGACTGTAGTCCAGTCCTTCCCGTCTCGGCGGGGGAGGAAGGGGGGAGAGAGCAGAGCGGGAAGCTTCGAAGACGAAGCAGCTGATGAGCACCAGCGCTCGGAGCCTCTCCGCGCGGGTGCCGCAGGGCCGAAGCAGGAAGTCCGCACGGGCTCCGGCAGCTTGTTGTCATAACCCCTCGAGCAGGGGATCGACTGCAGCACTGATGTACCCCAAGACAATCAGAGCGTGAATTACCTACCCCGCTTTCGCTTCCAGGCAAAACCAAGTCATACCACGCGCCTCCTCGTCAAGCGGCCTGACCAGTACAGGCCGCAGTTTGGCATCGTTTGGTATCTCTTGGAAGCGATGGTGGTCAAAAGCGAGGTAGGTTTGTTTTCCCCCTAGACAAGACTGTTCTTGTCCGTCGGATCTACCTACGGACAACAAAGAAGTATAATGGTCCGTAGACCTACTGAACACTCTACGACTTCTGCGGTAGATTCGGCGGACGAACAAGCTTGGGATACGTCAATCCTTTAGCCGATCCCCTACTCGAATACCCAGAGATCCAACATGTTGCCAAAGCAAGGCGGGGGGTTTTCCTTATCCTCTGCCTCTGGAGGCCCTCGACGGGCCTCGGACCTTCAAGAAACGAGTCAGGCTGAAATTTTGCTCCCCGGAAGTGGGTCGAGACCTCTGGGGACCCCGTACAGGGCTCGGTTCGATTCGTCCGATTCGATTCGATTCGACTTCGATGGCTTCCGATTCCGATTCGATTCGATTTGGGATTCCGATTTGGGCTCCGATTTCTTATGGGAGGCATGCTGGCCTCCCGCTTTCCGCCGATCCGACTTTTCCCGACTTGGCTGCCGATTTCCGCCGATCCGATCTGTTTCAATCGCCGATCCGACTTATGTATTCGATTCTTGGGTCTCCTGCCCGGTATTGAGATAAACAAGACATTGGATCTTTCGGTCAGAGCTGGGGTGCCGAACGGTCATTCATTGTCACTGGGTGCGCGGCAGAAGGGGCGTTCCGTCTGGCGGATTCTGCTTGTTGTGTTGTTTCGTTGTCATCGTCCTCGCCCGCGACCCGCCCGCGGTCCATCCCGCGACCCATCCCGCGACCAATCTTGCGACCCACCCCCCGATCCACCTCGCGCCCGCCCCCTTTCTCCTAGCCGCAATTGCGGGGTGCTGCGTGCACGCCGGTCGTTGAAAGTGGGCGTTTCTGGATTCCCGGATCCCCGTCTTTTTTGGGCGCCTTTCTACTTCAAGGATCGAGCGCTGTTGAGGACGATCAATGGAGAGGAGGCATGTTGTCAAATACTTTCCAGATGTCTACAACATGTTTTAACCATGTCGTGTACCTGTCTTGAACATGTAATAAAACATGGTTTGCACATGTTTACAACCTGTCCTTACATTCTAAACACACGTTCTGCTCAACGATCGGATTGCTCGGATGTCCATCGTTGCAGATCGAGCGGCGTTTCCTCTTCCCTCCTCCACAAGGGGGCGGACGGGCGCCCACTCCACCTCCAACGCCTCCCCTGCGTCGGGCTCCTGCCCACCCTTTCCTCCGACCGACGGGCCGGTGTGTGTGTGTGCGTGTGTGTTCCCTTTCTCCGAGGAGCGGGCAGCTCGCGCGGAGGAGGAGGGGGGGGGAGGAGGAGGAGGAGGAGGAGGAGGAGGAGGAGGAGGAGGAGGAGGAGGAGGAGGAGGAGGAGGAGGAGGGAGGAGGAGGAGGAGGAGGAGGAGGAGGAGGAGGAGGAGGGGAGGAGGAGGAGGAGGAGGAGGAGGAGGAGGAGGAGGAGGAGGAGGAGGAGGAGGAGGGGCAGGAGGAGGAGGAGGAGGAGGAGGAGGAGGAGGAGGAGGAGAAGGAGGAGGAGGAGGAAGAGGAGGAGGAGAGGTCGTCGTCGTCGTCGTCGTGGCCCGCCCTGCCCCGCTGTCTGCTCTCTTTCGTCTCCCTCCTGCGGCCCGTCCACCGCCACGACCACGGCCGAGCGTCCAGTTAAGGACGTCTGCGGGGCTCCTCTCGACTCCTCCGACTCGCTTCGACGAGATTTCGATGGACTCCGACCCCGGTCTGGCTCGACTTCGGATCCCGCCCCGGGTTCCGGCTTGAGGCCTCCTTGAATCTGCCGGTGTTGCCGCCGATTCCGCATCTCCAAAGACTTGGCTGCCGACCTCCGCCGATCCGGGCCACTTCGATCGCCGATCCGACTCATGTCGATTCGATTCTGGGTTTAAGTCGGGCCTGTCCCTCTACAGGAGGAATATTCAAAAATAGTCAGCGAATAGTGTGGGGACCTTTTTTGGAGTTTTTTTCTACCATTTAGGAGTATGGTTTGAGTATTTGTTATTTTTCGTCGAAAATCCCCCTGTAGGGGGACACGCCCTACTTAATTCTGGGTTCTCCTATCCGGGAAGTGTAAGACTCGAGTATGCTGGAACTCGGGTTGGCCGACGCTTGTTGACGAGCGCGGTCCGCGAGGCCCGAACTACCGCCTTGAGAGGGCTCCAGGGGCTTCCAAGAGGGGCCGCCAAGAGAGCCCAAGGAGCTCTCAAGAGCACCCCCAGAGGGGCCCAAGGCGGAGAAAGCGAAGCACTCTGGGCGGACGCCCAAGAGGCCAGCAGACGCCGCCCTGGATGTTGACGGTCCAGTTTTTGTGGGATGCTTGCAGCGGGAGCTCGCGCCAAATTCCAGATTGGGTCTCGTCCTTTTCATGATGGGCTTGTCAGGCCAATCCGAGACCCCCGAACCCGAGTCTTACGTTTCCCCGATCTTACGTCTGGGCAGACGAGAGCGCGATCGGCAACTCCTCGGGAACCACGAAAAGAGAGACGGTACACGGAACGCCCCACGACTGCGAAGCAGGACGTGGAGCGCCCGATTGTGAAGCAGAAGACGGGTTGCGAGACAGGAGTTCGCCATCTGTTCGGACGTCGATCCTTTGCCTGCGCCGCCGTCCCCGTCGCCTGACAGATCGCGCGCTAAACAGTTCGAGCCCCCGTTCACTGTAAGAAGGGGCTACACGCGCTCCACGAAGATTTCGCCCAATGTAAAACATAGATTGCTAACACGAACACCCCAGAGATCCCGTTCAAAATTCAACGTGAAGAAAGATGGTTTAAACGAGCTCCCCTGAAGATCCTGCTCAACGTAAACGCGAAAAGCGGAGGTGAACCTGGATTCTGCGCTGGATGGTTCACTTACTTGGCAATGTTGGTGTGCAACGCGATTTGTTCGCCAGATGGTACTCCAGCCTTGTCTAGCGCATTTGCGCTGGGGACCCTTTTGATACACGATGGCGGGATACACCATCTATCCCGCATGCATCTGCAGCGGAAAAGCTCCAACCGAGCTCTCTCTCTCTCTCTCTCTTTCTCTCGGTTTTGAGAAGCCGAACAGGGCCCAACGAATACATGACCATGCTCCGTAGCTATGTTGGCTCGCCGGTGTGGCTCGTCCAGTTTAGATCCAGGGCTTCGCTTGTTCGGTGCCCGTCCCCAGCGTTGCTCCTGGCGGCTCATGCCGGGCGCGGAGGCGGACCCCCCCGCCTGTCCTCCGCCGCGCCCGCCGCTCTCGAAGCGGGCAGCGCTCGCGTCGCTCGAGCCCCTCTCCTACCAGGCGGACTTCTTCAGCATCCTGGGCAACCTCTGGCACCCGCAGTCGAACCCCGGCGGCGTCGTGAACCTCGGGGTCGCCGAGAACAAGTTCTGCAGGAGGCTGCTGCAGGACCGGGTGGCCCGCTGCCACCTGTCGGTGCCCGACGACCTCGTCGGCTACTCCGACTTCGCGGGCTGCGCCGAGCTCCGCAGGGCCTTCGCGGGCGTACTGGAGCGCCTCGTGTTCCGCAACGGCGCGGCGGTCGACCCAGACCGCCTGGTGCTCTCCAACGGCTGCACCTCGACGCTGACGATGCTGGCGCAGATCCTCAGCGACGGGGAGCTGCCGAGGGGCACGCAGGACTCCGGATGCCGCGCTGGCAAGAAGATCTTATACGTGGCTCCGCGCTACCCGGCCTTCCGCAGCGACCTCAGGGGCCTCGCGGACGTTGAGACGGTCCAGGTGCTTCCCTCCAAGTTGGGTGCGCTCCCCACAGCGGCCGAGCTCGACGCCGTCTGGGCGAGAGAAGCGTCCGCGCCCGCAGCTGGGCGCGACGCCGATGGCGGCGCCGAGTGCAACAGCATCGTGGCCATGATAGTGTGCAACCCAGACAACCCCACTGGCGTGTCCTACACGGAGGCTGAGCTGATGGAGGTCGTGTCCTGGTGCCGCAAGCGATCCATGTACCTCATTGCCGACGAGATATACGGCGCTGGCTGCTGGGGCCAGGGGGAGCGGCGGTTCACGTCTCTCGTGGGGCATGCCGATGTCACTATCTGGGGCCTGAGCAAAGACTTCGCGAGCTCGGGTGCGCGTGTCAGCGTGGCCTGCGTCCCGACGCGGGGTGGTGGCGACTCCGCAGCTGCGGACGGCCTGCTCGAGGCCCTGAAAGGCCGGAGCATCCTCCACGCGCTGCCGAACGTGGCGCAGGTTGTCCTGCTGCAGCTGCTGACGGACGACGAGTTCATGGACAGCTACTTGTCCGCCTGTCGCGAGGCCATGTTCCGCGCCGCCGAGGAGGTGAAGGCCTTCCTGCGGCGCCTGGGGATCCCGTTCGTGGACTCCCAGGGCGGCATGTTCCTCTGGGCCGACTTCTCGGCCTGCGGCCTCAGCAGCCACGAGCTCTTCTCCAGGCTGCAAGCAGTGGCGAAGCGTCCCGGCGCGCCTATAGCCCCACCAAACCATGCTCTAAGAACCTCTTGTGGTTCCTGCGACATGTTCTTAGAACACTTCTGGCTGCGACTGTCTTGTTTTAACACATCGGGTCTATGCTCCAAGAACACTGTTTTTGTTATTAGAACATTCTGAGGACATTTCGCGGTATGACTATAGGAATGCCGGGACGGCCGGTCCCTGCTCAAAAAGGCTGCTCCGGGGGCACGGCGTGTTCCTCACCCCGGGCGCGGAGTTCTTCGACAAGCACGGCCCGAGCGGCGTTGCGCCGGAGAGCGTCCGCTGGATGCGCCTCTGCTTCGGCGCGTGCGACGGGCCGGACGCCCTGCGAGAGGGGCTGCGGAGGGTAGAGGCGTTTGTGGCGGAGAGCCGCGCGGCGGCATCGACGGAGTGAAGGGTCCCGCAGGAGTCGGCCACGCGCAGAGGGGGGTAGGGGGAGGGGGGAAGGCTTCTTGGAAGCACCCCCGCTTCGTAGAAGGCGCGGGCCTTGTCTGTACGATAGATGCAGTGAGGCCGGCGCCTTCTAAGAAGCAGCCTCCGTCTAAGAAGCCTTACCCCCCTCCCCCCACAGTCGGCTCGGATTGGTAGGTCGACCCTGCCAAACCAAGGGTACCCCTGCCTCCTGTGTCTCGCCACCCGTGCCTCCTGCATTCCTGGGGCAGTGTGGCCCTCGGAAGGGTCCTGTGTCCTCTCGCGTGTTCTGCCCAATCAAGTCCGACTGTATACCCCTCGCTGCGCGCCGCCAGAGGTAGGGGAACGAACAGTGACATAAACAGAATAACTCGGAGGTCCGCGCGGAATTCTCGGATCGGCGCTGGGGCCCCCTGGCGGCGCCTCCGGCGCCGCCCCTGGCGCGCTCCGCGCGCCGGGGAGGGGAGTCCAGCGCCGATCCGAGAAGTCCGCGCGGACCTCCGAGTTTTCATGTGTATGCCACCTGTTGTTCCCCTATAGGAGGAGGCCCAAGGGGGGGGAAGGCCCGGGTGCCCCGTCACTGCGGGGGCGGCGGCGATCTCTCCGGGGCCTCGCGCGGACTCCCCGCCGATCGGCCTCCTCCGGCCGCGCGCGGGCGGCGGTGCGGCGCCGGCCTCCGAGGCGGGCATCGCTGTGGCAGACGTGGGGAAGAGGTGCGTGAGCTATGGGGGGCACTTCAAAAAGGGCCTCGCCTTCGTGGACGGGAGGAGTCGTCATCTCTGCCGCGGCGGAAGGGCGGCGCCCAAGGTCGGCGGGAGTAAGACGAGGCCGCCTCCGCCGGCGCAAGCTGGCGGAAGCTGGCGGAAGGTCGGCGGAGGGCGGCGGAAGCAAAAGATGCGACGGCGCGCGCTCACCTACCTCGGGGCGGCTAAACAGGACGGCGAGGAAGAGTGAGGAGTGAAGAGGAGGAGGAGGACGACGAGGAGGAGAAGGAGGAGGACGAGGAGGAGGAGGAGGAGAAGGATGAGAAGGAGGAGGAGGAGCTGCGGCAGGGGCAGCGGCAAGGGCATGAGAAGGAGACCTGAGGTGCGAGGAGGAAGAGGGAGATGGCGAAGAGGTGTGATGATGATGGTGATGATAATGATAGTAATGACTGCGCTGGTGGTGATGATGATTAGTATGATCATTGTGATGTTGTTGATGATGATGTTGCTGCTGCTGCTGATGATGATGATGGTGATGGTGACGATGATTCTGATGATGATGCTTATGATTAGCGATGCTGAGGACGACGATGACGATAACGATGACGATACCAATGACGTTTACGATGATGCTGACCATGTTGATAATGATGATGATGCTGATGATGATGACGATGATGATGCTGATGATGTTGATGCCGACGATGATGTCGATGATGATGCCGATGCTGATGATTATGATGATGCTGACAATGATGATGCTGCTGCTGCTGATGATGATGCTGACGATGCTGACCATGATGATGATGATGATGATGATGATGATGATGATGTTGATGATGATGATGCTGACGGTGCTGATGATGATGATGATGATGATGATGATGATGATGATGATGATTATGCTGATGATGATGATGATGATGATGCTGCTGCTGATGATGATGATGTTGATGATGATGATGGTCGTGATTGTAATGATGATCAGGCGGAGGAGGTGGAGGTGGAGGAGCAGGAGGAGGAGGACGACGACGAAGACCAGAGTGAACCCAAGATCGGTCAACGATGCTTCAACAGGCCCACACGTCCCAAATCCACTCCATAAGTCTCTACACGAGCCCCTTTGCATTGCGGAACGTACCCCTTGACGGACGATCGCCTCATGGACTCGTAATTCAGGCGGGTAGGGGAGGAGGATCAGGAGGAGGAGGAGGACGAATGCTTTGGTGTGCGCGCGTGAGAAAAAAAGGAGATTGAGAGAGAGGGAGAGAGAGAGAGAGAGAGAGAGAGAAAGGAGAGAGAGATACGTAGAGAGAGAGAGAGAGAGGGAGAGAGAGAGAGAGAGAGGGAGCGAGAGCGCGCATTCCTTTGAGGCTTTCTGCAGCGCGCGTCCGCCTCCGGGCGTTTTGCATTTGCACGGGGATATCCCAGACGCCCTCCCGATATGTTATGTTCGTGGGTTTTTGGAGCGGGAGAGGAGACAAGGCGGGAGAGGGAATGCAGTTGAGAAGAAAGGGGGATGAGAAGGAAGGGCGAGGAAGAGGAGGACGAATGAACATGTGGTGAGGAGGGATGAGGGAGACAGGAGTGATTCAAGGAGGAGGGGCGAGGGAGGAGAGATGCAGAGGAGGAGGAGGAGGAAGAGGAGCAGAAAACGGAACAAAGGAACCGGATGAGTAATTAATGGAATAACTAGATGTAGGAGGGATTGGGGCAGGGATAAACGAGGAAGAGGAGGAGGGCGTGATCAGGCAGGTAGGTCGGATGATTATGAAGAGAGGGAGCAGGATTTGCCAGGGATGCGGGAGAGATGGAGAGAGGAGTAAGTAAGTGAGTGAGTGAGTGAGTGAGGAGGATGGGGGTGAAGCAGATGTGAGGGAGAGAGAGAGAGAGAGAGAGAGATGAGGGAGGCAGGAGTGAGGGAGGATGGACGAGGCAGGAGGCAGGAGAGGAGGAGGGAGTGAGGACTTGGAGACCCACTGGCATCCGTGCTGGCCTGCGCACTCGTCCGCTGATGTGGGATTCTTATTACCTAGCAGCGAAGACTGATAGGTTTCTAGTGGTGTCAAAAGAGCTCACAGATCACTCCACAGGGGGGTCCGGGCAGGTGTTGGGGCGTTTCCGGGCGGCATGAGCCGGGCTCGTTTTTCACCAACAGTCACACACTTCGTGCTCTTCGCCTTCCCAGAACTCCATTCCCAGGCCACATTCTGGGGGGCCGGATGCAACTGTAGGCCACTTCGTGCTCTTCGACATCCCAGAACGCCATTCCCGGGCCACATTCTGGGGGGCCGGATGCAACTGTAGGCCACTTCGTGCTCTTCGACATCCCAGAACGCCATTCCCGGGCCACATTCTGGATGCCCGGAGCCAACTGTAGGCCACTTCGTGTTCTTCCATTTCCCAGAACTCCATTCCCGGGCCACATTTTGGATGCCCGGAGCCAACTGTAAGCCACTTCGTGCTCTTCGAGTTCCCAGAACTCCATTCCTGGGCTACATTTTGGATGCCCAGAGCCAACTCTAGTCCACTTCCTGGTCTTCGAGTTCCCAGAACTCCATTGCCGGGCAACATTTTGAATAGCCAGACGCTTCATATTCCTTCCGCCACAGCTGTGTTTGGTTCAGGACTTGCTAGTGACACTGCAGTCCTCTGCATTCAATTGGCCACTACATTCATTCACTGCAGTCCACTGAGTTTTGATTGCAATGGCGTTCCCCTGGCCGTACCCCCATGTCCAACGTTCATCCGCAGCCTCTGCTCCGCGAGGCTCGTCCGAAGTGTCGCCGCCTCGCGGTGCTTCTCAGCCTGCGCCGCCTCGCGGTGCTTCTCAGCCTGCGGAGGAAGGTGGACAGACGCCTGGTTCTGGCGCTGTGCAGCCTGCGTCTTTCACGGTCGCCTCGTTCAATTTCGGGTTCGAGCAGGGCATGATGACTGGTAAGCAGGCGGCCACTCACTGCGCTAACTTCGGAAGGTTGTGCGCCAAGATAGTGGAGACCGCTGATGCTGATATGGTCTGTGGCTGCGAGGTCGGTGCGTTCCGTGAAGGCTTTCGCCGAGCAGGGATCAACGTGACAGAGATCCTCAGTAAGCCTTTCGGTGATGGCATTCGCTTCTTGGAGGTCGACAACTACTTGACTCTCTGGGGGTTCCGCGGTGCTTCTCAGCCTGCGGAACTGACTCTGTGCGAAGACAGCAAAGTTTACAGGCCTCCTAGCGGCCGAGATATTGATGCTGTTATTTCACATTTTGAGGTGAACAAACCAGGCCATGACAAGTTCCACGTGGTGATCGCCAACATGCACATCGTGTGCGGCAAGAAACCGCCGAGCATCCAGACTCGAAAGCGGACAGTTCGCCATCTCCGCTTGCACCTGGACGGCCTGGCCAAGATTCTTGAGAATCTAAACGAGGCAGTCGTTGTGCTTGTAGTCGGCGACGACAACCTCACTTTCCAGGAGGCGCGGGAGGCTTACCAGCGCGAGCAGAACGACGAGAAGGTATGGGAGGTCCATGCCACTCCGGCCGACCTCAAAGGCGACCACGTCGCGGTCTGCGGAGCAGTCGCCCGTTTCTGCTCCATTGCCGTTGGCGCGTCTTTTACGGATCGTGGCATGCGCAACGACGCACACGATGCGGTGGCGGTTGTGCTCACTCTCCCTGGTGCTATTCAGCCTGGGGAGAGCAAGAGGCGGAAAATTGTCGTCGAAAACGTCTCCGACGCCGACGTCAGCGTACAGGCGGACCGCGAGTCTTCTGTGCATTGGGATCGGTCGCCGAGTTCTGCTCCTCCGCTTTCACCGACTTCACCGGGTGATCCCGACTACGTCGAGGATGTCGTTCAGAATCGCGCGGACGACTTGCACAGGGAGCTGAGGCAGCTTTGGGACGACAGGTACGACGAGGAGTACGATCCGAAAGTCCTCCATCATCTCAGTCTCTTGCTTTTCAAAAAGAGGAAGTCCACGGAGCCAGCGGACACTGATCCAGCTGGCGCTCCTCAGCCTGGCTCGGAATATGACGCGGCCTTTGCGTCTCAGGAGGAGACTGGCCGAGCCATTCTCTCTGTCCTTAAGCTTCGACATGACTTTCTGCGGAGCAAGAACATCGACGACATGCGCTACGTTCTCACGGAGCCTGAGCGCCAGGAATTGGTCAGAGTAGCTCGCGACCAGTACGAGCAGTCGCGGCAGCAGCGTGCGCTTCAGGAACGGGATATCGAAAAGGGAAAAGCGAAAGGCAAGTCTGCGCCACAAGGGGGCCATGCGGTTCCGCAGGG